TGTGCTGCAGGTGCAGACAGGGCTGGGGTGTGAATTGGCGGCTCTTTCTCCTGGGGTGGTGCACTCCAGGCCCCGCCTTCCTCAGCCCTGATAGGAGGATGTTTTAGTCCATCTGTGTGCTGAGCCAACCGCTGACGGAGACTGTACGGTTTATACAGAACAGCCGGGCTGAGAAGTCCCGGGTGAGGCTGAGGGCCACATGCGGCTCCCCCTCACAGGAACTCACGGCCCCTGCAGTGACCTGCGGCCCACCATGGCCCACGGCCCAGTCATGGCCCACGGCCCCATGGCCCCACCACAGCCCACGGCCCAGTCATTGCCCTCGGCTCTGCCGCAGCCCACAGCCCACGGCCCCACCACAGCCCACTTTCCAGTCACAGCCCATAGCCCAGTCACGGCCCATGGCCCCGCCACGGCCCCATGGCCCCACCACGGCCCCCAGCACAGTCACAGCCCACAGCCCACAGCCCCGTGGCCCCACCACAGCCCACGACCCAGTCACAGTCCATGGCCCCACCACAGCCCACAGCCCAGTCACGGCCTACGGCCCCCGTCACAGCCCACGGCGGCACCGTCGGTCCCTGTTGGCCCCTTGGGGATGAGGTTTCAAACAACACGTGTGAAAGCCCTGCTTCCAGGACAGGCGGCCTCCTGCCAGGCACCCCGGGGTGTGTCACCGCCTGTTGAGGCCCCTGTCCTGTTGCCCCCTGGTCAGGTGAGAGCCCGGCTTTTCCCACTCGCATTCTGCCGCAGTGCCTTCCCCGTGGCTGGTGCCCGACGGTTTTCGACAGCCGGAGTGACGTCACGTCATGGGGTCCTCCTGCCCAGAGTCCGGGTGGCCACATCCACTCCAAAAGCCTGCGAGTGACCCTGGATCACGAGTGTTAAGGGAGAGTTCTTTGAGCTGTCTTTTTTTTTTTTTTTAAGATTCATTTATTTATTTGAGAGGTAGAGTCACAGAGGGAGAGAGAGAGATACCTTCCATCCACTGGCTCACTCTCCAAATGGCCACAGTGGTGGAACTGGGCCCATCGGAAGCCAGGAGCCAGAAGTCTCTTCCCAGTCTCCCACGTGGGTACAGGGGCCCAAGGACTTGGGCCATCTTCCACTGCTTTCCCAGGGCGTAGCAGAGAGCTGGATCGGAGGAGGAGCAGCCGGGACTCGAACCGGTGCCCATATGGGATGACGGCAACACAGGCAGAGGCTTAGCAGTGCCCGTGAGCTGTCATTTGTTTCCGAAGAATCACAGCTGCCCACTTGCAGTCACGTTTTGTCCCTTGATGTGGGCGTCCACATTGTTCGATGCAGATTGTAAAAGCCAAATGAACACTCGGAGAGGAAATCAGCTCGTGTCAGAAATGAACGAAGAATCGCCTGGGGGTGGTCGTCCCCGGGAGGTGTTGTGTAGTCGTCACAGGAAGACGCGTGAGCAGCGGGGCCTGTCACGCAGAAGGCAGGTGCGCTGCGTGGGTCAGCGTTCCAGGCTTGTGATTGGCTGGGATGTGTGGAGCAGGCGTGGCTGCAGGAAGTGTCCAGATGTTTCCCACCAGGTGTCTCTGGCCTCGGTGGCCACGCCCCCTGCTAACTGGCTGCATGGAGCAGACACCAGCCTGGGCATCAGTGCATGTTTCTGTCGATAATGAGCGCAGGGAGGCTGGCTGTGGGACGAGAGCCGTACAGGGGAAGACAGCGGCTGCTCTGGGAAGGAGGGAGAGGCGTGCTTGGTGCTCAGGTTTCTCTGTGGCCTCGTCGGCTCCAGGGTCTCCTTACCAGAAGGTTGGTTTCTCTCAAGGTCGGCTTTGTGATCCAGAGCTCAGTTGGCAAACATCTCTTTACCTTCCGATATTTGAGTCGTGGCAGCATGAATAATGGCCATGAGGATGGCAAGTGGGAGTGTGGGACCTGCCCAGAGGCTGGCCTGGAGCTCGGCTCCTGCAGAGACGGACACACTCAGGCCTGAGACGGACACACTCAGGCCTGCAGAGATGGACACACTCAGGCCTGCAGAGACAGACACACCCAGGCCTGCAGATGGACACACCCAGGCCTGAGACGGACACACTCAGGCCTGAAACGGACACACTCAAGACTGCAGACGGACACACTCAGGCCGGCAGACGGACACATTCAGGCCTGAGACGGACACACTCAGGCCTGAGACGGACACACTCAGGCCTGCAGACGGACACACTCAGGCCTGCAGACGGACACACTCAGGCCTGAGACAGACACACTCAGGCCTGAGACGGACATACTCAGGCTTGAGACGGACATACTCAGGCCTGCAGCTGACACACTCAGGCCTGAGATGGACACACTCAGACCTGCAGAGACGGACACACTCAGGCCTGCAGAGACGGACACACTCAGGCCTGCAGAGACGGACACACTCAGGCCTGCAGACGGACACACCCAGGCCTGAGACGGACACACTCAGGCCTGAGACGGACACACTCAGGCCTGCAGACACACTCAGGCCGGCAGACGGACACATTCAGGCCTGAGACGGACACACTCAGGCCTGAGACGGACACACTCAGGCCTGCAGAGACGGACACACTCAGGCCTGCAGAGATGGACACACTCAGGCCGGCAGAGACGGACACACTCAGGCCTAAGACGGACACACTCAGGCCTGAGACGGACACACTCAGGCCTGCAGAGATGGACACACTCAGGCCTGCAGAGATGGACACACTCAGGCCTGCAGAGATGGACACACTCAGGCCTGCAGACGGACACACTCAGGCCTGAGATGGACACGCTCAGGCCTGCAGAGACGGACACACTCAGGCCTGCAGAGATGGACACACTCAGGCCTGCAGACGGACACACCCAGGCCTGAGACGGACACACTCAGGCCTGCAGAGATGGACACACTCAGGCCTGAGACGGACACACTCAGGCCTGCAGAGATGGACACACTCAGGCCTGCAGAGATGGACACACTCAGGCCTGCAGAGACGGACACACTCAGGCCTGCAGACGGACACACTCAGGCCTGAGATGGACACACTCAGGCCGGCGGAGCCCCTCTTGCCCTCCTCCGTCCCTTTTCTCCTTCAGGTTTTATTAGGAACGTTGCCAGCATACTCACAAGTGGAGGATAGTAGCCCTCATGCGCCAACCACAGCCTCTGAAAGGGGGCGCACCACCTTTGCTATGGCCGTGCTGTTTCCCACCTCCCTCTGTGTTGTGGGTTTTGTGTGCTTGCTTGCTTCGGACAGCCTTGTAGCTGGTGATGGAAGTGATGTAATTTTACCCCCAAGTCCTTCACTTAGATCTTGTTAGAAGCAGAGCTGCCGCCTGTGACGCCGGCATCCCCCAGGAGCAACTGTCGAGTCCTGGCTATCCCGTTTCCACTTCAGCTCCCCGCTGGTGCACCTGGGAAAGCAGTGGAAGGTGGCCCAAGTGCCTGTGTCCCTGCACCCACGTGAGGAACCTGGATGAAGCTCCTGGCTCCTGGCCTCAGCCTGACCCAGCCCCAGCCATTGTGGTCATTTGGAAAGTGAACCACCGGGTGGAAAGTCTCAATCTCTGTCTCCTTCTCCCTCCCTCCCTTTCTCCCTCCCTTCCTCTCCCTGCCTCTCAAATAAATGAACAAACCCTTTAAAAAAGAAATGTACTTGAGTCCCTGCCACCCACAGGAGACCTGGGCAGAGATCCTGGCTTTAGCCTGGCCCTGTCCTTGCTATTACAGGATTTGGGGAGTGAACGGGGGTGGAAGATCTCTCTTTCTCTCTGTCTCTGTCACTCTCTGCCTTTCAAGTAAGTAAATAAATAGATCTTAAAAAAAATTCTGAGCTCCATAGTCCTTCATCTCGAACATTTTTAGAGTTGTTGCATGTGCTTATGCTTTCATTACCATTTAGATATGTATGTCATGAAGCTGATTTCATATACTTCATATACTTTTGTTAAGGATTTATTTGTGTATTTGAAAGGCAGAGTTAGGGAGAGGGAGAAATGCAGAGAGAATCTTCCACCTGCTGGTTCACTTCCCATGTGACCACAGCCACCAGGACTGGGCCAGGCAGAAGCCATGAACTGAGGACTCCATCTGGGTCTCCCATGTGTGTGGCAGCGGCTAAAGCACTTGAACCATTATCTGCTGCTTCCCATGGGGAGCTGGATCAGAAGTAGAGCAGCTGGAACTCAAACTGGCGCCCACAACGGGCTGCCACTGCAGGTGGCAACTGCTACACCACAGCTCGGCCCCATCAGATAAATCAATCTTAAAAAAAAAAAAAAAAAACAGTAAATAGACATGAAAAGATACACACACACACACAAACACAAACACACACACACACGGTTAATCCCAAAGACTTCATCTGTGGGGATTTATTTGTTTATTTGAAAGCCAGAGTTACAGAGAGAGAGAGAAACTCTTCCATCCACTGGTTCACTCCCCAGATGGCCACAACAGCCAGGGCTGGGCCAAGTCAAAGACAGGAGCCAGGAGCTTTTTCTGAGTCTCCCATGTGGGGGCAGGGGACCCTGGACTTGGGCCATTTTCTACTGCTTTCTCAGGCGTGTTAGCAGGGAGCTGGATCGGAAGTGGAGCAGCTGAGACACAAACTGGAGCCCACATGGGATGCTGGTATCACAGGCAGTGCTTAGTCTGCTGTACCACAATGCCAGATCCTCATACCTGTTTACTGTTGAAAGACATTTGGATTATTTATGGTGTTGGGTGATGATGAATAGAGCTGCTGTAAACATTGTAAATAGGTTTCTACGTGAAGAAAGTTTTCATTTTTCTAGGGCCGATCCCTAGCCGTGCACTGGTGGGGTCACATGGAAGCACGTGTTTGACTTTATAAGAAGCTGCCAGACTGTTTCTGAGTGTCCATACCCCAGCAAAAGCGAGAGTTCTGGCTGCTCCACTGCTGTCAGCACTTCATAGTGCCAGTTTTCTCTTTTGTTTTGAGGCATCATAATAGATGTGTTACTCTTGTTTTTAGTTATCTGATTTCAGGTTTCTGAGTATCATAAAAATTGGTTTTGATAATCCTTGAATAAGTTACTGAATTAAATTTTTTTGTATAAGAGTATTTCAACAAGTTCATGGAAAGTGGAATTAAATTTATTTTGGTACAAAAATTTTTGAAACCCATGCATATTGGCTCATCGTGTGCATTTTTCAAGAACTTTTTTGAAAACCCCCTGTATATCTGCTATAAATATGATGATTTCTGCATTTAAGTATTTTATACTGAAAAACAAAACCAGAATATCACGTAGAAGCCATTAAATCTGAGCAGTTGAGAGGTAGTGCCTGGGGAAGGGTGGCAGAAAAAGTGTCTGAAACAGCGAGTCCTCTGCAGCGACCCCTCCGTTGTGCACATCCCAGGAGCGTCTCGTTCCTGTTGTACCGTCAGTGAACGCTGAGGCCACATCTGATTTTCCCGCTGGTTTCCTGTTAGGTTAGATTCATCAGTGAACACTTCATTGCATGAGAGCAGACTGGATGTAAGTGGACAGTACTCTCCGGACTGTCTGAATTACAGTGTGCGCCATTGTGGTTTAAAGAACGGGCCACTGTGATGTGTCTAGCAGCAGTCAAAGCTTGCATTTTTTACCTTATCAAAGCACAGTGAACTCAGGAAGAAAACCACTTGAAATGTCCACTTGTGGCGTCAAGATCTCCTGTCTTCCTCTTTGGGTGACCTAGGCACCGTGGCCCCTGGTTACTTCACAGTGTGCAGCTGGCTCCAGGATCAGTTACCAGAACGCCCCTGTTAACGGTTCTCACCGTCTCACTCCCTCTGTCACACGAGCTGTTCCAGTCTCCCGGTGCACAGAGTCATTGCTGAGGGAGACCCCGTCTGTGATTTCAGGCCTCACCCGGGGGCTTCTGGGTTAAGCTTCGAGTTGGTGGTGGGCTGTGAAAAGCAAGAAGTGATTTCCAGTGTCTGCTTGGCAGTGAGGTGGCTCCGGGGTTCTGCTGTGAGACTTGAATCTCCCTTGCGTTGCTTGGGGTTAGCCCTTCCTTCCTAACACAGGGCGCTGGGGAGAAAACCTGAGCTGGCTGGGAGGGTGGAGGGCAGGTAGTCCGTGGGCTCCGGAGCTGGATGCGTTCTGGAGGGAAACACTGGGACACTGGTTCAGAGCCGCGGAGAAGTGGGGTGAGCTTCGGCAGCCAGGTCAGTTACGGCATCAGAGGAACACATCCGTTGACTGTTGACGTCTGCTGTGATTGGAGTAAGTCAGAGAGTGAAGGACTGTCAGGATGGCACCTCCGTTGGACTTTGTTGCATTTAAAATGTAGTTTGCGGGTCTTTTAGAAATAGGTTGAATAAAGTCATACATGCACATAAGAATACACACGTGTGTGTGTGTACAGATAGATAGGGTTGGGCAGAAGGGATAATGGAAGTGGGTTTTAGGATACCAGACTCATACACCTGCTGCCCCCTGGTGGCAGCGTGTTGAGCAGTGCAGTTCAGAGGTAAGTGGGGGGGGAGGTGGCCTTCCTGAGGGCTGGAGCTGGGAGGCATGGTCTCCCTGTACCCGTGATTACCGCCTGTGTTATTACCTGTGTTTTCTTAGGCAGATGTTTTAGTGCAGAGCCCAGACTGCACCTTCTCCAGCGTGAAACTCAATTTCTAAAGCGTTTTGCAGCTTCAGCACCTGTGACGGCGATGCCATCGGCGAGTATGGTAGAAAGGAAGATGTCGAGTTCTGCTTTCCCGTGGGCAGCTGGATCATAATAGATCCAGGTGCTCTATCAGGAAGGAGGTCGTAGCTCGACGCTGGTTCAGCTCCGGCTCAGCCTGCGTACAGGCCTGCCTGCCTGCAGCACAGGCCGTGGCCGTGTAGGATGACCCTGCTTTGTCATGAAAAGATCGAAAGGTCCATCGATTGAAACGATTCTGTTTTTAGTTGTGGAACAAAGCACGCACACGTTTCCGTCGTAATCATGTGTAAGTGTGCGGCCAGCGGCGCTCAGTGCCTTTACGCTGTTGAGCAGCCAGCCTCAGAACTCCTCCAGCCGGCACAACTGGAACTCCAGCCCATCAGACAGCACCCGATTCCCCGTGCCCCCGCCCCAGAAACTAGCGTTCTGCTTCCTGTCTCCATGGCCTTGACTGCTGTAGATACGTTATGCGAGTGTAACCATACAGTGATGGGGGGGGGGCGCTTGTTTCCCTTAGCATAATGTTAGCATGTGGTACATGTTGTAGCATGGGTCAGAGCTTCCTTCCTTGATAAAGCCGAGTGATTTTCCATTTCTGTGTATGCACCTCATTCTGTTTACCCATTCATCCTTTGGTGGATGGGTACTGGGCTGCTTCCACCTCTCGGCCATGGTGAGTGATGCCATGACCATGGGTGTGCCACGGTTGCTAACCCGGAAAAGGACTTGCATGGTTTTTTCCTGTGTGTGCAGGATTCCATTGTGAAGGGAACAAGTCGACTGTTCCAGTAACCAGTGTCTGGCTGGTTGTGTGGGTGAGGGTGTTTTCTCATGGGTTCATAGAGCCAGTGGCCAGGGCTGGCCGTTTGTAGACTGTGCAATGACCCAGTGACTTTCATGTGTGTCGAGTAGCCTGAGCCTTAGCCGGAGCTTGTGAGATAGGCGAAGGGAGAATTTCTGTCCCTGAGCCAAGTGCGTCACCCAGGAGCCACACCTAATCCAGTCCTCTGATTCCCACTGGTGTGCACAGCCTGTAGAAGCCTGGGCACTGGGGCTGCCTCCAGCACCTTCTCAAGGCAGGGCCACCAGGAAGCAGCGCTTCCCAAACACCTCCTCCTCGTTGCACTCACATGCGACAGGCACTTGGTGCTCTCACGCGCCTCGCTCCGCACTCCTCAAAGTGCTGGGGTCTCACGGGGCCGAGAAGGAACCTGAGGCACAGAGGTCTGGTCATCCGCCAAGGTCTCAGGCGAAGGCCCCGCCCCCACTGCGGGCAGGGTGGAGGTGTGGGGGCGTCCTGGGGCCCACGCTGACCAGGTTGTTTAGGTGAGGGGATGCTTGCAGCAGGGCTGTTCCTCCCGAAGCTGCTGCCCTCCCAGTCTGCAGTTGGCGCTGCCCGGCACAGTGCCATGGCCCCCTGCTTCCAGTCAGCAGCACCAGCCAGACACCCTCCGTGGCGAGGCCTGGCTCCAGAGTGGGCCAGGAGGGGGGCGGAGAGGCAGGAGGCGGGGCTGGGCTAGGCCTGCACAGTTTGCCACGAATCAAGGAATCTTGCTTAGGCCAGCAAGTGATACGCAGAAAGAAACATGGAGCAAAGTTCAAGAAGTTTCATAGGTAGCTGGTGGGGCAGTAAAAGCAGCAAGGGATCAGAAGTGCTGACCCCAGGAGTTAAAGTGTCCCAAGAATATTAATGTTTAATGAGGCATGGGTGAGGGTGGCTGAGCATCGACCTTGGGCACAGTCGGCCGGCGAGGAGGAGGAGGTGAGTGTTGGAGGGCTGGGCGAACAGGGGTGTGCGTGACCGAGGGGTGGTCTTGGGGCATGTGCTTAGGATTACTGACGCCCCCTGGGGGAGGTGAGGGAGCGCAGGCTGATCCTGACCCAGTCTCAGCACACACGCCAGTCCCGTTAGGTCACGTGCCCAGACTCTGTAGGACACCCTGCCCCAGAAGCAGCCTCGGACAGCAGATCCTTGGCCAGGAGTCCAGGGAAACAGAGACAGGCACCTGTCCGTGTTTTGACTCTTGTCGGGTTTTGATGTTTTTGCCGTGGGTTCACATAACACATTCCCAGCTGGTGCAGGCGTGGGTCACCGTCCCCACCGAAAGGATCGGGAGGGCAGGATGGAGAGAGAGCACCTCACTGGGGAGCCGAGAGAACCAGTTACTTAGGTCTGTGCCTGTGTCTGTACTAGTGGGGTGTGGGGTACCCCAAAGGAACACAGACTCTCCACATGTCTACACAGCACCACCAGGTGCCCGGCTGTTTGCGTCCAGGAATGATTTCCAGGCCCCCCACCCCCCTGACTCCTTTACTTGCAGGTGGATGGCCCACTGGTGAGTCAGGTGCTGTGCCCGGGGCCTAGTGACGAGGTGTCGGAGTTGCCCTTGGCTTACCCTGGAGAGCGGTGGCAGCCCCGTTGCCTCGGGTGGGGGGGAGGGGAGGGAGGCCTGAGACGTCAGAAGGCCCCTTAGTGGGGGATGAGGAGTTGTGCACACTGAGTACAGTGGGCGGGCTTTGGTGTTGCTGGTGCTGAACCCGGCTCCTTGTAGAGCCTAAGTGAATGGCGCGGCCGGTTGGTCAGTCGGGCTGCGGCAGAGTGTGCACTGTGGACAAGCGAGTCGTGTCCCCATCCCTCGTCCCGAGTACACAGGGAAGAGCTGGCACTAGGTGCTTCTTGAGTAAGCGCTGTAAGTCATTCCCCGAGGGGCAGTGTGGTGATGGCTGCAGGACAGGTTGACTGGCGCAACGAGCCCAGGCTCCGCTCCAGTCAGCTTCAAGGGGGTGAGAGGGGCCAGCAGGCCGTCCCGGCCCGTCCCTCGTCTGGGAGCTGATGTCAGAGCTCTGCTCCCCCGGGCCATCCGCAGCACTCGGGCTCCTGGATTACCAGGACCAGGAGCTGCTGTGGTGGAGGCCGCGGGGAAGGTGGTCGTTAGCGCCTGGGTTTCCTGCTGAGTAAGCTGCTCATCTCCGTCACTTTCTTTTTTAAAGATTTGTTTATTTACTTGAAAGAGTTACAGAGAGACAGATTTTCCATCCGCAGGTTCACTCCCCAGATGGCTGCAGCAGCCAGGGCTGGGCTGGGCAGGAGCCAGGAGCCAGGAGCTTCCTCCTGGTCTCCCATATGGGTGCAGGGGCGCAAGCACTCGGGCCATCTTCCACTGCTCTCCCAGGCCATGATCGGGGAGCTGGATCGGAAGTGGAGCAGCCAGGACACGAATCGGCACCCATATGGGAGGCCGGTGTCACAGGCGGCGGCTTTACCCGCTTCGCCACAGCGCCGGCCCCCTTGTTTCCCACACTTGGAGTAATGCGTACGTCCTCACCTTGGAGCATCAGGAAGGGGCTCCCATGTGCTGTTTATAGGGGTCAACTGAAGCCAGCTTTGAGGGGCCACCCTTGCAGGAGGCAGGCCAGTGTCAATGCCTCGCCCGTGTTAGGCTAGGTCCTGGCATATGTGGCGGGCGCCATCTTTAGGGTGTGGTTTTTCTCTTCCTTCTGCCCGGTAGGTTGGGGTCTCTGCACGCTAGATGAAGGGCTCCCCCACTCGCTGGTGGCTCTCTGAGGAACGCCCAGTCGTGCAGGCGGGTTTGCAGTCTGTAAACGCCCACCTTCTTTCTTTCTGACGGCTGGACAGCTCTTCTCTGAGCCGGCACCTCAGCTCCTGGGCTAAGTCCCAGGCAGCAGCACCGTCACTTGTCGCGCCTGTGGTTCTGTGACCCCTTTGGTGGCCCTCCACTGTCCATTGTCCTCACAACTGCGAGGTCGCCCTGCGTCTGGCTCAGGCAGGGGCTGGGCTGCCAGGTGCATTCTGCCGGAGCATCGAGTCTCCAAGGTTTCCAGGCTTGATGAAGGCGCTCGTTTTCCCAGTGGGCAGCAGAGTGGCAGGGTTGGACGTGACCCCCGTCTCCAACATCACACTCGGCTTATCCAGGACAGCCCACTACTCTAGGTTACGTGAAGAAACAGAGATGTCGGTCACAAAACCCCAGGCAGCTGAAGGGAGGCCCTGGCCAGTGATGTGGGCAGGAGGGAACGGCAAGGACAACGGGTGTTTGGCACGAGTGTGTGTGCCCTTGAATTCCCTCTAGGGCCGGCTGAGGAGACGACGTGGGGCCCACAGCCCACGTGCGTGGCTGGGCCTGGAGCCCGGGGCTGTGGGTTCCTGTTGTTCCGGAAGCACGGATGAGTTATGCTGAGAGAGGAGAATGCAGGGAGACTCCCAGCCGTCGTCACTCAGCTTGGAGCAGAGGGGAGTGGCAGGCCAGGCCGGCGGGGGAGAGGGGACTGGTGGCACTGGCGCTCTGCACAGCGGTTGGGTGGCGACAGAACGACCGCGCTCAAATGCTGACGATCGGCAGTCTGGCTTTCCTTTCCCACGTAAATCGGCTTCTGGACTTAATGCAGTAAAATTCACCCAGTTAGTACTTAAAGTTCAGTGCTTCTTCCTTGCGCCCAGCCTGCTCTCACTGGCAGCAGCCCCCAGCAGCCACTGTGATTTCTGTCCCTACGATTCTCCTTGTCCAGAATGCCAGTGGATTTGTGCAGTACGAGTCTGGCATTTCTCAGCACGTGTGTTTGCGGCTGAGCCACTTGATTGTGTGTGTGTAACTCGACTTGGTTATGCATTGTTGAGCTGTTGGACGTTTGGGTTGTTTCTGGCTGTTGGCGGTTAACTGGGAGAACTCCTGTAGCCCTTCGTGTACAGGTCTCCGTGCGCACATATGATTCTGTTTGTCTTGGGAATATCCCTGAGAGCGATTAGATTGCTGGGCTCCACGGTCAGTGCATTTTTAAGTCTATCAGACGCCGGCAGGCAGTTTTCCAAAGTTGTTGCACCACCGGCATTCCCGGAAGCAGGGTCTGAGGCTTCCAGTTACGCCGTAGCCCAGCCAGACTTCAGCCAGTCTCCTCAACTGGGTCGTCCCAGCAGGTGCCTGATGGCAGCCCAGCGTGGTGTGGTTTTTTTAAGATTCACTTATTTACTTGAAAGACAGAGTTACAGAGAGGCAGAGAGAGAGAGAGAGAAATCTTCCATCTTCTGGTTCTCCCCAAATGGCTACAATGGCCGGAGCTGGACCCATCCGAAGCCAGGAGCTTCTTCCGGGTCTCCCACGTGGGTCCAGGGGCCCAAGCACTTGGGCCATCTTCTACTGCTTTCCCAGGCCATAGCAGAGAGCTGGGTCAGAAGTGGAGCAGCCAGGTCCCGAACTGGTGTCCATATGGGATGCCAGCGCTGCAGGTGGCACTTTACCCACCATGCCACAGTGCTGCCCACCCCCTCAACCCCACTGCCTCCCAGGGTGGTTTTGGTCTGATTTCCCTGATAGGACGGAGAGCGTGCCCTAGCAACATGGAGTGTCTTTCCGTGTGCACACATGACGCGCCTACCTCTGGGACGGAGTTACCTGCTGAATTGGGTGCCCACTTCCCCCTGTGGATTGTCGAGTTCCCCGTGGACCCCGGGTACAGCTGCAGCTCCGTGCTTGCCTCTTCAGTTCCTTTTCAGAGCAGACCCAGCTTTGGTGCAGTCGGCATTTATTCACACTTCCCGGCTGTGCTTGCTGTCTCCTGTGCAGACGTTCGTGCTTGGATAAACTGAGCTCTGTGCTCTGTGCTTGGATAAACTGAGCTCTGTGCTCTGTGCTTGGATAAACTGAGCGGCTGGAGGGGCAGGGGCTGGGGTCGGTGTGCTTGTGCCACGTGGATCCGCAGCTGCTCGGGCTCCCCAAACCATCTGAGCTCCTGGGCACCTCTGCTTGACCACTGCTGTCCATACGAGTGTGGGGCTACTTCCGGGCCGGCCGGCCTGCTCCATTGATTGAACTCCTTTTTCTTTTATTGAGATAGAATTTACATACCATAAAGTCAACACTATAAAGTGTACAAGTGGGTGGTTTCTCAGTGCATTCACAGCTGGGACAGCCACCACCACCGATTCCGCATCACTTTCGTTATCCCCAAAAGGATGTCCCATGGGTCTTGATGTCTCCTTTTCATCCTGTGTCTGATGCCACGCTGCCATCTGCATTGTGGCTGTGCAGTAAGCATTGGAATGTAAACTTTGTTCAGCTTTTTCAGAGTTGCCTCGGCCGCTCTAGAAGCTTTAACTTTTATGTGCGTCTTTGAATCGGTTCATCAGTTTCTACACAGAAACAACTGCTGGGACTTCTGTGAAGATGGGGCCAGCGTTGTGCTGCGGCAGATTAAGCTGAGACTTGGCCACCGCAATCCCATCTTAGAGCACCAGTTCGAGTCCCAGATGCTCTGTTTCTGGTCCAGTTTCCTGATAACACACCTGGGAATGCAGTGGAAGACGGCCCAAGTGTTTGGGCCCTGCACCCATGCGGAGGACCCAGATGAAGCTCCTACCTCTGTGCAAGGTTGTTTTTTTGTTTTTTTGTTTTTTGTTTTTTTTTAAGATTTATTTATTTATTTGAAAGTCAGACTTACACAGAGAGAGGAGAGGCAGAGAGAGAGAGGTCTTCCATCCATTCATCCATTGGTTCACTCCCCAGTTGGCTGCAATGGCCGGAGCTGCGCCCATCTGAAGTCAGGAGCCAAGAGCTTCTTCTAGGTCTCCCATGTGGGTGCAGGGGCCCAAGCACTTGGGCCATCTTCTACTGCTTTCCCAGGCCATAGCACAGAGCTGGATTGGAAGTGGAGCAGCCAGGACTCACACCGGTGCCCATATGGGATGCTGGCACTGCAGGTGGCGGCTTTACCCGCTATGCCACAGCGCCGGCCCCATCAAGGGTATTT